TTTTAGAAAGGATCTGCAGGAATGATCTGCTGCAGAGTTTGTCTGCCAGCTCAGAGCAACAAGCTGCCGTAGCAGGAGAGGTTCCCTGTGACGTCTGCACTGGAAGCAAACTGAAGGCCCTGAAGTCCTGCATGGAGTGTCTGACCTCCTATTGTGAGGCGCACCTGGAGCCTCATCAGACAGCTTCACGTCTGAGAAGACATCATCTGGTAGAGCCCTTGGAGAACCTGGAAGGCAGGATGTGTATGAAGCACGATAAACCTCTGGAGCTGTTCTGTAAGACCGACCAGACATGTGTCTGCACGCTCTGCTCTGTTTTCAAACACAAGACTCATGAGTTTGTTCCTCTGAGAGAAGAATATGAGGGAAAGAAGGCAGAGCTGTGGAAGACAGAGGCTGAAATTCAGCTGATGATCCAGAAGAGACAACTGAAGATTCAGGAGATCAAAAAGTCAGTAAAGATGAGTAAAGATTCTGCAGACAGAGAGAAAGCAGAAGGTTTTCAGGTGTTCACTGCTCTGCAGGAGTCTGCTGAGAGAGGAATGAAGAAGCTCATGAAGGAGATCGAAGGCAAACAGAAGACAACAGAGAAACAGGCTGAAGGCTTCATCAAGGATCTGGAACAAGAAATCTCTGAGCTGAAGAAGACAAGCTCTCAGATGGAGCAGCTCTCACACTCTGAAGACCACCTACACGTCCTCCAAAGCTTCTCATCCCTGAAAGCTGTTCTACCCGCAAAGGACTGGACAGAGATCAGAGTTCATCCACCTTCATATGAGGGAACTGTGGTTAGAGCTGTGGCTCAGCTGGAGGAGAAACTCAGGAAATGCATGAAGAAGAAGCTGCTTGAGGCCGAGCTGGAGAGGGTCCAGCAGCATGCAGTGGATGTGACTCTTGATCCTGATACAGCAAATTCGAGACTCATCCTATCTGATGATGGAAAACAGGTGCATTGTGGTGATGTGAGGAAGAATCTTCCAGACAACCCACAGAGATTCTCTCCATGTCCTAATGTTTTAGGAAAGCAGAGTTTATCTTCAGGCAGATTTTATTTCGAGGTTCAGGTTAAAGGAAAGACTGCCTGGGATTTAGGAGTGGCCAGCGAGTTGGTCAACAGGAAGGGAAAAATCACGCTGACTCCTCAGGACGGTTTCTGGAGTTTAGGCTTGAGAAATAGAAATGAGTACAGAGCTTTTACTAGCCCGTCAGTCCGTCTCTGTCTTCAGTCTGGTCCTGAGAAGGTGGGGGTGTTTGTGGATTATGACGAGGGTCTGGTCTCTTTTTATGATGTGGATACTGCAGCTCTTATCTACTCCTTTACTGGCTGCTCCTTCATTCAGAAACTCCACCCATACTTCAGTCCCTGTCTCAATGATGGTGGCGAAAACTCAGCACCTCTGATCAACTGTCCTGTCAATCAAATCGAGTCAATCAACAGATTTTATTTGATGAACTGATTCATTTTTGTTAAAGGGAACCAATGAACACGTTTAGTGTAAATACTCTACAGTTTCCATGTTTTCTATAGAATCTGAATATTGTCGACTCTGATTTATGCTTTTGTTCGATTCTCGTGGAATTTGAAGCAAACAGAAGCAAAAAAATGAATCAGGAAATTTTCCCACTAAGTGATTATAAAATATCAGAGAATGAATCTCAGAAAGCTTCATTTAAGAATAAATGAACAGTAACCTTGTAAGTGTTAACAAAATGAAACATTACACTTTTTGGTCTTTTGAAATTGATGTTTGAGACTGGACTGTTTCAAACACTGAAAGTCAGATATCTTTACACTGTGTGTTGATTTGTTACTGTTTAATATTTTCTTAACCTCTTGTAAAGAAAAGATAACTGTTGTATATAAATAATAGGGGTGGGGGAAAAAATCGATACTGTGTAGTATGGTGATATTTTGTTTGCTAATAATGTATCGATACAGGGACAGCAGAAATCGATA